GGGGCCGGGGCCATGGGGGATCTGGACCGCGAGCGCCAGAAGCTGGAGGCGCAGGAGAAGAAGATCATCGTCGACATCAAGAAGATGGCCAAGCAGGGGCAGATGGTGGGGGCGGGAGGATGCTGTGGTGGGGACTTGCAGCACCTGGAGGGACCAGGGGACTACGAGGGGACAGGGCACTGTGGAGGGGACCAGGGGACATGGAGGGACGTCTCCAGGGAACATGGAGAGGACTGGGGGACATGGAGGGGACCAGGCGATATGGAGGGGATCAGAGCACTGTGATGGGGACTTAGGGATGTAGAGGGGACTGTGGTGACAACGAGGGGATGTGGAGGGGGCTAGGGGACATGGAGGGGACCAGGGGACACAGGGGGAAGGGAAGACACAGAGGGGAGCGGGGCTTGTCGTGTAGGGAACCGGGGCACTTGCGGGGGACCATGGTGGGGACAAGGGGACACAAGGTTGATCAAGGAACATGGAGGGGACCAGGGGACGCGAAGGGCACCAGGGGATGCGAAGGAGACCGGGGCACTTGCTGGGGACCCAGGCACTGTGGTGGGGACTAGGAGATGTAGAGCGCCTGTGGAGATCCCTCAGGGCTCTGGGGATCCCCACGGACCCTGTGGCCACCTAAGGTCCCCCTGGCCCACAGGACGCAGTGAAGATCATGGCGAAGGACCTGGTGCGGACGCGGCGCTACGTGAAGAAGTTCATCACCATGCGGGCCAACATCCAGGCCGTGTCCCTCAAGATCCAGACCCTCAAGTCCAACAACTCCATGGCCCAGGCCATGAAAGGCGTCACGAAGGCTATGGCCACCATGAACCGGCAGGTGGGTGCTCATGGGGATATCTCCAAGGCTGTAGCCACCATGAACTGTCCCAGGATGGCCATGGGGATATCCCTGAGACAATGGCCACCATGAGCTGCCCAGGAGACATCCTTGAGGATGTGACCACCGTGAGCTTTCTGGGGTGGCTGCCTTGATGTGCCTGAGAGCATGACTACCACAAGGAGTCCAGGGGGGATGTCGCCAAGGCTGTAGCCATTGTGAGCACCCTGAGGTGGCTGTGGGGATGTCTCCATGGCCTAGTTTCTCCAGGGTGACCATGGGAACGTCTGTGTGATAATAGCCACCATGAGCTGTCTTGGGAATGTGGCCATTATTATCTGCACTGAGGTGGTCGTGGGGACACGCCCAAGGCTATGGCCAGCACAAGTTGCCCTGGGGTGGCTGTGGGGATATCCCAAAAACTGTGGCCCCCTCAAGCTGTCCCAAGGGACATCGTTGAGGCTGTGGCCACCACAGGCTGCCCTGGGTAGCCATAGGGATGTCTCTGAGGTTGTGACCACCTCAAATTGCTCGGGGTGGCCATGACAATGATCCTGAGATCATGGCCATCACAAACTGCTTGGGTGGCCGTGGGGACATTCCCATGACCATAACAATCATGAGCTGCCCCAGGGGACATCTCCACGGCCACCACAAACTGTCCAATGTGGTCATGACATCCCCAAGGCCATGGCCACAACAAATGGCAGCAGGGGATGTCCCAAAGGCTGTGGCCGCCCTGAACTGCCCCAGGTGCTGTTGGGATGTGCTATATTCCCACATGCCACATGCTGCATCCCCATGTTCCCCCAGCTGAAGCTGCCACAGATTCAGAAAATTATGATGGAGTTTGAGAAGCAGGCAGAGATCATGGACATGAAGGAGGAACTGATGAATGATGCCATCGATGACGCCATGGGAGATGAGGATGATGAGGAGGAAAGGTGAGAGGGAAAAGAGTGAAGACATGGATGGGAGGGCAACAGGTGACATGGGGGAGGAAGACATGGAGAAGAGGAGGACAGTAGACACTAGGGAGACACCAGGTGCAATTGGGAGGTCAGGGCAAGTTAGAGACACTTGAAGGGGAGACAGGGGACACTGGGTGCTTAGGGACACCCAAGGAGGGATGTGGCAGCTTGGAGACCCTTGGCGGCAGGGACAGGGGACACGGGGTGGGATGGTCAGAGGTCTCAGTGCAGCCATTGACCACCCTGTCTTCCCCCAGTGACGCAGTGGTGTCGCAAGTGCTGGACGAGCTGGGGCTGACCCTCACCGATGAGCTGGCCAGTGAGTGGGACTGTTGGGTTATGGGGGGCCTGGGGGACACCTTGGGGGTATATGGGAGATCTGAGGGGGTGACCAGGCGGGAGGTGGGGGTCTGCGGGATATGTGGAGGTCTAGGCGGTATATGGGGTGGTTCAGGGTGTGACTGTGGGATGAGAGAAGGATCTGGGGGAATATTTGGGGGGCAACTTTGGGGCAGGTGGAGGTCTAGAGGGGTGTTTGAGGGGTAACTGGGGGTTAATGAGGTCACTTGGGAGTCTGGGGGTATCTGAGGGGATCTAGGGGGTATTTCAGGAGTCAGGGCAGGATTTGGA